CAAATACTTAATCAGCTCTGCCATGTCAGCGACCCGGCAATCAGATCCTGCTAGTTGACAACCACTCATCGATACCATCGACATCATGAGCGACATCGCCCATCTTGTCGGCCTCGGTCTCGTCCGTTTTAGTCCTCCTGTTTTGCGCAGCATGGAACGTGACGCAGTCATCTATTATTTGTGCAGTCGAAATACCCACATGAACCGTCCTGACCGTCCCTCTTACCGCCAGTGCCGGCGGTCTCGGTTGTTCTCCTCCCTGCTGCTCGCCGCCGCCTTTCTCGATCCAAACTTCCCATCCATCTCCTCCCTCAAGATCATCCCTTTCATCTCCCTTCCCATCCTCCTTCTTTCCGGATCTAGCGGTGAGCCGCTTACCGCATACCCTGATCCTCTCGCCCACGAATACGGGGCTTAGGCATCGATAATTGATTTCCTTGATGATGCGTTCATATCCCTCGAGTTCGTGGTGCAGACAGGTTAGCATGAGGGTTAGGAGAAGGGGCCCGTGCACGAGGAGGCCGGGTTGGTTGTATTCGATCATGGTGTATAGCGGGTCGAGATGGATGGCGTGTGCGTTGTAGGTGAGGGCGGAGTAGCGGGTTAGGAGGTGGGGAGTCGGGGTTAGGGTGTGAGTGAATTCGGGGTTTGAAGGTGGAGGCAAGGAGCGGTGGCGAGGAGCATCTTTTGCTTTTGTCGACGAGGAGGAGGAGGGCTCATCCTTGTCTGGCATGTCCGGGCGGAGAAAGCAGAGATCCCTTCGCTCGATGATGATCGCCTCGCCCTGCTTGGCTTCATCTTCTGCCCAGACGCGTTTTCGGACCTTAAGGTCGTCTTCTCTTTCTCCTACATGTGCGACGCGTCGTTCGATTCCCACAAAGACTTTTTTTTTTCCGCGCCTGCCTGTCCCGAGACGCGGACGGAGCGGATTCCCTCAACAATGGCGACTCGGGTGCCGTCTAGAAGGGGCTTGTTCTGTTCTAGGAAGCGGATATGGCCTCCTGCCCAGAGCCGATTCGTGAAGGGTTCGCCGGGCGAGTGGAGGGTGTCTGTGCCATCTGGGAGAAGGGAGGAAGGTGTGGTGGGGGTGGGGAAGTAGACGAGATGGTGGCTGATTGGGAGGGGGACGGGGGAAGATGTCGAGGGGAGACGAAAGGGAACATCAGTGGAGAGGAAAGGGAGGAAGTCGGCGAGCGTGGTGGTGAGGAGGTGGGAGGGTTGAGGAGTCAGGTAGTCGTAGAGGATGGGTAGTTGGCGGGCCTGGAGGCTGGACTCGAGGTTGGAGAAGCTCGATGAGAATCGAGAATGAGAGAGGAGTCTTGACGGAAGACCACGACGGAGTGTGAACATGGTCTATGATGGTTCACGCACTCCCGTCATGGCCCCTTTGCTTGGTCGAAGTAGTCTGACCGTAGATGGAGGAGTTGAATTGGAGTTCGTAGAAGTAGAGATTGTGGTGCATACCGAGGGTGACCATCTCCATCTCCCAGCTCCTCTCCAACAATCAATGTCTATTCATTGTCTTTGACCAACCCCCCTGCTCCTTCTGATGAATTTCGCCGACACCAGGACAGTTTCTCACTACTAGTATCATTAGTCCGCAACGTGGCTTCATCAACTTAATTCAATTCTCTACCCGACCAATACTTCCATACTCAAAATGTCCTCCAACGTAGGCCTGACCACCCCCCGCGGCTCCGGCACTTCAGGCTACGTGCAACGCAACCTCTCCACCCTCAAGCCACGCGACACGGGCTACGGCGCCCCCTACCCACCTCGCAACTCCTCCAACCCCAGTTCCGACTACTCGTCACCCCTTCATCCTCGCCAACGGCAACCGGACCAAGCCATCCTTGCCCACGACCGTCAGCGGGAGGTTGAGGTCAAGGTCTTCGAATTGAGGGATCAGCTGGAGGACGAGGGGGAACTGGATGAGGATGAGATTGAGAAGAGGTGTGATAAATTACGGCTGGAGTTGCTGGAGGAGATGGGTGGTGGTGGGAGCGGGAGCGGGAGAGGTGGGAAGGGAAAGGGCCTCAAACCGCATCAGGTGCATGAGCTAGCGGAGGCGAAGATCAAGGAGAGTGAGAGATTGAGGAAAGCGTTGCGTATTAAGGAGGGGAGGGAGGGGAAAGCCTGGGAGAATACCAGTGTCAAGGAGGAGGAGCATGATCGAGGGCCAGACCGAGAAAGAGACACGAGGAGATGATCAGGATGACCAGTCTGCAAGAAGCCTGACATCAAAAGTACAAGCCGATGATGTTGCAGGCTACCGGAGGCTTTGGGACGCCTCTAACATGGATCAGGAGAAGAGTCACGACGGAAATGAACACAAGATTGGTTGTTGAACCTGCAGCATTCTTGCTAGGAGCTATCGTGGTAACCTCATACAGCCATATGCATCATACATCAAACAAGAATAAAAGTTCAGCAATAACAAGTATGATGGGTGTAATTGCTGAAAGAATCGTATGCACTTAACATCATGCATTTACCGACAAGGAATGCTCCAACACACCCTGACCACAATCCAATTGGCTTCTCAACCTGCCTTTCCAACGAACTTCAAGCATCATCAGTGGCCCTCTGACTCCACGAAGGGGTGGGTCGGTGGTCCCGCCTTCGCGCAAGACGGCATATCCAACATCAAATCCAAGTTCCCATTCACGCGACCCTGCTCTCAAAATCGAGAGGTCGAACTTCGTCCCAGCGTCGGTCGAGGCGTTTTCGTCGTCGGTGACAAATGCTGTGGTGGTGGCACCACTCCACCAATCTTTTGAAAGCCCTGCAGGATATCCACGCCGCTGTCCCCCTCGTCAAAGTTCTCATCATCAAAAACACCAAAGTTAAAGAAATCATCAGTCTCGGGAAGAAGGAGCGAATCCATGACTTTGCTGGGTGACTTGGGCGTGTACCTCGCAGATGGCTTCAACATCGAACCTTTCGAAGGCGTCTTCGCATTGAGGCGAGTGTTGGTGGTGTTTATGTCCTGCAGCGCGTTATTCGGCGTAGAGGAGGCCCGATTGAGCGAAGGTCTTTTTGCCGAGCGTTTCAGAGGAGAACCAAATGCAGGAGTGGAAGGTGTGGTCCCCAAGTCAGAGTAGATGTCCAAAGTAGCATTGTTAAGCTTGAAATATGGACTCCAGGCCAATTCATCTGCAAGTCCAGCGCCCAACGCCCGGGTAGGAGAATTGACTAGTTCTTGAACCTGCTGTCGATGGTGACGCAAATGCGTGTTGGGGGAGATCGATGGAGGTGGTCGGGCAGGCTTTTTGAATATCATGGCTGGGGTGACAGGAGCTAACTTGTTGTAATCAAATCCACGTAAAGGCGAAGAGAGCATCAATTCGTCCGAGCCAAGGCTCTTGAGGCGACGATGGCTAGGAGTAAGATCATGGGAAGAGCTCCTGATGCGAGCAATCTCCTCTTCGGCTCGACCACGTTTCTTCCTGGGACGTTCGATATCAAGCTCAGAGGTCAGCACAGCAGCTGATTTATTTGGCCGAAGAGCAGACGATTCTAGCGATGAAAAGTACCCACTGTCATCCATGGTGGCGGCTTTGCGCTTTCGACGCGGGCCTGAAGAAGGCTGCGCTAGCTGTGCAGGAGATATGGTTTCGCGACGTCGACGTTGAGGCGCTGGCATAGGTGGCGAAGAGTTGATGGCTTGCGGAGGCGAAGATTGCGGCTGCTGAGCGACGTTGCTGTCATCAAAGAAAGTTCCATCCTCTTCTTGCAGAGCTGGGTCCGACGCAGGAAGAGTCGCATCAGAAGAGAGTTCAGGAAGCTCTGGGGCGGTCTGTGGTTTTGCTGATGGCGGTCTTGCAATCTGTGGTCGTGGAGGCGGTTGCCCAAGCCAATTCTGTGGTGCGAGCGCATTGACAAGAGGTGGTGGTGCTTCGTGGCGAACGATCTGAGGCTGAACGGACAAGTTGGCCACGGCGGTGCCTTTGCGAGTTGGTTTCTCTCTGACGAACTGCATTTCCATACCCGGTGCAATCGTCCAGTAATTGCCCTTGCCAGAGTCGCCTTTCGGTCGCTCCTGCTTCTGGAAAGCCTTATTTAATGATAGATTGTGGCGAATGCTATTCTGCCATCCTGTCTCTTGTCCGCGATAGAATACATAGGTGTCAGATATCCATTTGTAGATCTGAGCTAGTGTTAGACGCCGATTCGGAGCTCGCAGTATAGCCATGCCGATAAGGTTAGCATAGCTATGAGAAGGTTTCGTCCCTTCGTCCTCGACGGCAGGCATGTCCTCGGGTTCGGGTAGATAATTGATTTGCTCTTCTTCCTGGCGCATTCTTTTGAAAGGTCGATCGAAGCTTGACACGTCGGACATTGAGCGCTTATGGGGTCTGTTTCTTGCGTATGATGGATCAGGGAAGTCGGCAAAGTTGACATTATGAGCAGGCACATGATGATAGTTCTCCTTATCCATATGCTCCATTGGTGCACTAGGAAATGTTGTAAAGAGTGGTCGCTGGGAGATTGGAGGAACGTATGAACGAGGAGGCATTGGCGCTGCAGCCTGGTCTTTGACTAGGGAATCAGTGTAGCCATTGGGATGTACTGGTGGTGGAATGGAGACGTAGGCGAAGTCAGGGTGGCCTGGTAGTGGAGGCGATGACATTTGGAAGACTTTCCTGGGAGATGGATGAAGTGGTGCAGAGTGAGGAGGTTCAATATTGACGTTTTGCTTCACCGAACCATTCTTGATGGGCTGCAAGGGTATGGCCGACGGTTGAAGCTGCGGCCTCGGCTTTTGCGTAGCTGTATTTCGTGGTGGAGGTTGGACAGGGTCTTGGAAGATCTGCAAGGGTGGAGGTTGACGCGTCGACGCCATTGTGGAAGTGACAATGAGCATAAAAGAGGTATAGAGTCAACAATATGTACTGATTTGACGCGTAGAGCCGTCGAGTCTGGCCGGATCCGAGTAGGTGTTGATGATTGTTGATGTTGATAAAGTCCTGCAGGTACTGGTTTAGGAGAACTGCATCTGTGTTTCCTGCAAAATAGGGGCAGTGGATCTCCAGGAACACCGGCACGAGGATTGATTATTGAAGTGAAAACGCGTTCAAGGTCACCTAAGAAGCTTGATTCCTGAGTTCAATGGTTGGAGTCTCCTGGAGCAGGTTGCTGCAGGCTGGCTGCGCAGTTCAGGTTGTGTCGGGATGGTTTGTGGAACCAACGGCGTGTAAGGTTGACAAATATTGCTGCATCACTGTTCTGTGAGAGAGGAAGTGGTACTGGAATGGAAGATTGAGATGTAGCGTGCGACTGAAGGTAGTGGGTAGAGGGTAGAGGGTAGTGGTTGGTGGGCAGGTGGGAGTGGTGATGGTGATGGTGGTGGTTGAGGGGGCAGAAGTGAGAAAGTGGGAATTGGGTTCCAGTCCAGCCTTAAACGCCCGCGGGAGGACTAAGTCAGGTTGCAAAAGGCTGTGTACTCGGGTAGGCCAATATTCCACACCTGATACCACTTCTTTTTGCAACATACGCCATCCACAGCCCGTCATCCTGATCAACTTTCGCGTCCCGCGTTCCGTGTGTCAATGCTCTCAACCAGTCCCCACCCAAAAAGCCTCAATAGCGCGTTTCTGATTCAAGTCTTGCTGCCGCTTAAGTCATGATTCGATCGCAATGCTCCATTACTGGAAAAGACTAACTACTCCGCATTACTTCCTCTCTTTGCCAGTCTGTTTCACAGTGCTGCAACTAAGCAATGACTGGTCATTCATTCTTCGTTCCTCTTATCCCTTGCGTCACGACTGACAAGAGAGCAGAAAGAGCATTCCCTTCTCCGACATTCATTTTGCCAGATGAGGTCGAGCATGCTAGGTCATGTTCTAGCTCGAGGCTAACTCTCTCGCGATGGCCTTCTAACGCACTGTCATCCCACGTTACGTCTTCCATCAGCCACACAAGTAGATTGTGGACACAATGCTGTAATGCTCGCTAAACGCCCGCTTTTCAAGTCCTTTTGAAGCGCCAATTAATGCAGGACCCTGGATCTCTTGCGCTTCCCTGCCCCTCAGACAGGATTCGTTACTGCTCAAGGAAAGTGAAAAGGTTAGTATGGATAATATTGATGGCTCGGTCCGCATCCCTCTCTTCTATCACACACGATATGTTGATCTCACTTGCTCCTATTCCCAAGTCAGCCTGCGCCCCACAACGAAAACTAAATTGGTGGCTAGACTGACCTTGTGATATCATGTCGATATTTACATTGTTCTCTCCTAGTGTAGAAAACATCTTTCCGGCAACGCCCATCATGTTCTTCATCTGCTTGCCTACCAGACTGAGGATGGCCATCTCCGGTGTGATATCGACAGTTCCATAGACGCGTAACTCTTCAATTGCCCCTCGAAGATCTTGGTTAACGATCTGATACTCATCGTCGCCGCCGCCATTGTATAGTGGAGCTTCCGAGTGAAGCGCCATGGAGACATGGACCTCACTGGTCGAAATCAGATCAATGGATAGCCGCCACTTGTCCAGGATCGAGAAGATCTTGGCGAAGAAGCCATGCGACAGAGATCGCCTGTTGGAGTGCACGTTCATGACCAGAATCTTGTGCTTGAGAGTGACTGCCGTGGGCCGTTTGGGTCTTTTCCGGTCTGTCATGAGACTTGCACTTCTCGTTCGAAAAAGCTTGGGGTCGTGACCTGGTGAATCTGTTTCAAGCTCACTGACAGAGTCAGGGAAGATGATGGTGCCGTCTCCTCTGGGGTTCATCACGTTCTTGATCCTGATCGGTATACGGGCTCGAATTACTTGCTCCATGGTGAAGGGATGGATGACTTCGGAGCCATAGAATGTCAGCTCTGCCGCTTCTGCAGGGCTGATCTGTGGCAGAAGTCGAGCAGTAGGCACTTTCCTTGGATCCGCTGTGAAGATGCCGTCAACCTCTTTCCACACCTGCAACTCATGCGCCCGTAGGCCAACCGCCACCAGGGCAGCACAGAGATCCGTGTATCCACGTCCAACTTTGTCCAGCAATCCTCCCGGTACCATGCCGAAGAATCCTGTGACCACTGGAACCTGAGCTTGAGATGCTCGGATCCTGCTCCCAAGCCTTGCAGCCACGCTGTCATAGAATGTCTGGTCCAGGTTGCCCTTGACTGGAAAGTCGATCACGTCGGAAACATCCACATATTCCGAGTGTATATCGTGGTCCTCCAGCAAAGCGGCCACGAACCGGCAACTGAGTTTCTCACCCACGCTCATAACTTTGTCAACTGACCGGGGACTGATCTCTCCGAGTGTCTGAGCAGCCTCCAATACTCGAATGATCTGCGCACATTCTTCTCCAATTCCTTCTTCTAATCTTCCGAGTATTTCTGGAGACTGTATGTGCTGCTGGGCAGACTCGACATGGTCGCTCCGAACGTGTTCAATGAGGTCTCGGTATTGATGCGATTGGGCATTCTGAGCGTCTCGCGCGGCTCGAAGCAACCTGTTGTGCAACCATGTCAGACTCTGCGAAACCCGAGGTAGAGGAACGCTTTTCACCTGTTTGTGGTACCCTCTGCCTTCGAGCTGCTGCTCCGTGCCGAGCAGACAACTACAACTCTACCACGTGACAGACTCGGTCTGAAGCAAGTCAGTGCAGAACTTCAACCGCGCAGAGAAATGAAATACTCGCCTTACCACGTTATCCACGATATTGAGAGGAAATTTGCCTACGCTGGTTCCTCCAAACTTTTGCACCAGCCACTTCTCCCCCAAACAGTCAATGGAGCATTTCGGCTCAGAGGCAGAGCGTAGTCCGTGGGGCAGAGTATCCAAACCCATAACTTTTGAAAGGAAGACAACGAAACTGCAGAACCAGACAACGTAGTAGATAGTATCGTGCAAACAGAATATCAGCAATCGGAAAGAACAACAGCATTGACCTACCTTGTAGACTGGTGGGGGAGGTATTTTGTGAGTCGAGGGGTTTACAGAAAAATGATGACAGCCGAGCAAACCCAGTCAAGATGCTCCCTGCAGGCCAATAGCGCTCACGCTCATGCACTATAGGCATGAACCCCACAGCGCCAGGAACCACGATCAGTCCTTTTAGGGTTGGGGTTGGCAGCTCGGCCGGCGATCAATCATACCAAGCAGCTGCCACCACTATTCTGCCACAAATGATGCAGCTTGACCAGAGAACTGCCCTCGGTTTCGTATTGCAACATCCTTCTCGGCGCTCAGGAACAATAGGATGACCGCGATAGGAGAGTTGTGAAGAGCTATCTTCATCCTCCACATTTTAAGATTTAGAATCAGCGTGACAATGTTCAGGGTCTGATGCAGGATCCTCCACAATGCAGCCCTCAGCTGGAAGTACCCAGCCTCAGAGGCTCCACCAGAGTATCGACTGCCTCTTCGAAAACAGATTGATTTCTGGCCGCGGGTTGGCCGCAAGCTCACCAAACACATGTTGTTAAGGAACCGGCGGTAAATTTGGCTTTAGCTTGCGTGTTCACAACAATCATCCGTCAAATCCTTCAGCTGTGTCATACCTTTATCTTCCGTAGAGAGCGACGGCTCGATGAACTCAGAAGCACTGAGCAGGTCACACGAAGACTGACGCCCATCCTAAACTCAAAATGGAAGCCTTCTCCTGTCCGTTCTGCGACTTCTCCGATCAGGATTCATACTTCCTTCTGCAACATGTCGAACTGGTTCACCCAGAGAATGGCGAGTCCCCGTTCATCGCTACTGAAGGTGATGGTGATGAGGAGGGTCGCTCTTCCTCAAGTAATCAAGAGAACAATGAAATGCAAGGTGCTCTGCAGCATGGGCAAACAACTCCGTCTACTGGGTCATCTATGAACAGCCCTGCAACATATATTGAATGTCCTTACAATTGCGGCGAGCTTGTCGCCTCAGCTGAGATCACTTCCCATACCGACTTTCATTTAGCTGAGAACATGGCTTTTGAGGAGGAGGCTATCCGTCCTGTCCAGTTCTCTACCGGTGCTTGCAACAACGAGCAGGCTGTCAAGGACATATCCACTCATTTCTCCACTGATATCCCGAAAGCTCTTAGAAGAGACGACGATTCCCTTCGGACGTCAACACCACGCAAGTCCTCACTCAAAGAGCTCCTCTTCGGAGACTCACCTCGTCGTACGCCAACCAAAGTATCTGGTGGTGGCACGAAACGGCTAGGCGTAGGTTTGTCACCCCGTTGGTGGTTTTAAGCTGCTGACAAGAGCCTATAATAGCGAGCAGAACTTGGTCCATATGCTCATGAGAAACAGATGCCTTCATGGCTGCGGCGGATGCTAGAGGAAGGAGCCAAAGTCACAATCTACAACCAAATCAGCCCCAATGGGACTATGGTTAGAGTCGAAGCAGTCGCCAACGAGACACCAGGTCTCATTCCAGTCCTTGCTCGGCTCTCCTATCAGGACCCAACCGTCGACCATGCATTCTATTGCAGTTCTGAAGTGCATCACATTGCTAAGATGTCTCGAGAAGGCGGCTTTTGTGGCTACCGGAACATACAAATGATGATATCCTACATTCGTGAATCTCGAGCACCAGGATACAGGCACTTTCCTGGTAAGACACCGTCTATACTCAGGCTTCAAGACATGATCGAGCATGCATGGGATATGGGTTACAACAGTTCTGGAAAGATAGAGACTGGAGGCATTCGTCTGACCAGGAAGTACATTGGCACTCCAGAAGCTCAAGCGCTATTCAACAGCCTAGCTATTCCGTGAGCTCACCACCTATCAGCACATGGTCGGAGAACTAATTTTTCACAGTTGCGAAGCAAATGCATTTTCACGCAGCAGCGAATTCGCAGCACATGAAAGTCTGCTTCTAGCCATCGGCGAGTATTTCAGTGGCGAGAACTTCCTTGACTTCGACCAAAAGATACACATGACAGACAAACCACCAGTGTACTTCCAACACCAAGGACACTCGCTTACCATTGTCGGCTTCGAAGTGCGCAAGTCCGCTGCATTCAATTTGATGGTTTTCGATCCAATGTTCAACCCATCGCCCGCAATCAAGAAGCTGGTTGGCTCCAATTCTTTTCGAGCTGACAGTCCGGAGAAATTGCTCCGAGCACACAGAAGAGGCGAATCTTATCTTGGAAGGTACAAAGACTTTGAGATACTCAAATGCACAGGAGGTAGAGCAGGATAGCAGCATTACCTCGGTGGGTGGAGCGTGGAGCTGATAGCTCTCCAGCTCCAGTTGCTTGTCGGCCCATTACAGTGCATAGCATGAAGGCGCAACATTCGGGATAGCATAGCATTGGTGCAGGTAGCTGAGGATACCACAATGAAATATTTTTTCGTCTTTGGAAGCGCGAATTAGATAGTGGTGCTTCAGACTCTTATGTATCCGCCCGATACAGGACGTTGAGGGGAAACAGTGAGATCAAGAACTCCCTTTAAACAGTACGGAAGATCGCCACTTCTCCTGTCCAAAAATTAGCCATGTACAGACTACAGTACAGTAGCATCCCAAGCTCCTCCGCATCAGCTCTCCAGTCCAGTTCATGCGGGGAACGTTCCCGTCTGTCATCTGTCAACCCTGAAGAGAGTCTACTAGTAACTTACAGGACATCTGATCCACTACTACGTACATATCCAAGTCATTAGCAGGCTCGTCTGTTCAGTTCCCCCTCTCCTCCCCCGACCGAGTGCTTGATACCCTTTCCAGCACCCCATCCCATCCCACCCCTCCTCTTTCCAACAGATAGAGAATGCCGCGCAAACTCCCCAACATCATCATAACCGGCACCCCGACCGTCGGCAAAACCACCACCTGCACGCAACTCATCTCCCTGGCCTCGGACCTCGCTCCCTCCTCTCAGAACCCGGGTTCCTCACCACCACCCCTGCGGTTGAGACATCTATCTATCAACGACCTGGTCAGGCAGAAGGGCTGTCACGAGGGTTGGGACGAGGAGATGAGGAGCTGGATCGTGGATGAGGATGCGGTGGTGGATGAGGTGGAGAAAGTGCTTGGTGTTGGCCGGATCGGGGGGGAGGATGGGGGGGGAGACGAAGAAAAAGAAGAAGAAGAAGGGGGCTGGCTGATCGATTGGCATGCTTGTGATGTATTCCCGAAGAGTTGGCTGGATCTGGTGGTGGTGCTGCGCTGTACGAGGACAGAGGTGCTGTGGGATCGGCTGAGAGCGAGGTGTGTGTGTGTGATCTTCATTTTATCTCCACCCGCGCTCTGGTTACCTGCGCTGTATACCTGCACCTGGTTTCACGTTATTGAGCCTGCACGAGGGCGCAAAGTGGAGATTTTTCATCATACTGATCAATTCTTGTGCTGCAGGGATTATCCAGAGGCCAAGTTACAAGAAAATCTCGATGCGGAGATCTTTGGCGTGCTACTGGAGGAAGCCAAAGAGGCGTTCGATGAGGAGATGGTTGTGGAGCTGAAGAGTGAAACGGCCGAGGACGTAGAGGAGAACTGTGAGAGGATATTGCAGTGGATACAGACTTGGCGGGAGAATCAGAGGAAGAACGGGGGTGATACAGAAGGGAGTGAGTGAGCTTGAAAGATGGTCCATTAGCATGCTCGAACACCAGCAATGCACCAACCCCCGACAGAGGCGGTCATTTAGCATCGAGGTCATGTATTGGAAGCAACGCTCTCCTCCGCGAGCCACGCTTTCAGTTTCTCCAGCGCCTTATATCGATGCGAGATCAGATTCTACGCAAGTTCCAGCAGATCAGTATCTGTACGATAGTCGTTCGCAGACGAAGCAATCAGGAAGAGAGCAGGCCCACAAAGAGAGCTACCGACCTTCTCAGCCTTGTCCATCTCAGCGTACGTCTTGCCCTCATACTCGAAGATAGCATCCCAGCCTATCACAACCACACTCCCGTCAGCCAAAAACAGAGGGCTCAGACTCCAAGAAATCGACACCGGAGCTCTTCCCAACTTACCAAACGTCCCCGGCCCCCTAGCTGGCACGATCCTCCCTCTCGTCTTGCCCTGGAAGAGCAACGGTTCCTGTCCCGGGCCGGCAGAGAAGGCGAACGTGCAGACCGCATCTGCGGATTTATCGTCGTAGGCCGCGAGAAGGTTGTTGAGGCCCGTGTGGCCCAGGGTGGAGAGGAACCATTTTCTGTTGGGGAGTCAGGAGGAGAGGGAGGGCTGTAGAAATAGAAAGGGAACGAGCGGATGGACGATGAAGGAATTCCCAGGACGGGATGGCCAAGGTGTACTCTTAAGGGTGGCATGAGATGTGCATCGTTTCGTGCCCACTGCTGGCAGGATGTTTGGGGTACATAGGGTGTGATGCTGCCGCCCATGAGGAGGATGTTGTTCTTGATAATACAGAAAAAAGGCAAAGAGAAAAAAAACAGACCGGGATAAGGCAGGACATCATGGGATATTCGTGTACACACACAGAGAGAGAGAGAGAGAGAGAGACAAGAATAAATAAACAAGCATGCGTGTACACATACATATACGCCCCCGGCAAGCCCCCCAAAGCCGTAAACCCCAACGTCGTATCCTCTGTCAGAACCGGCCCATTGACCTAGCACACCTATCATCAGCAAGCACACTGCCATACCTCCCCCCCCTTCCTCCTCCTCCTTCACCCCCCGTCCAAAAGCACCCCAC